CATCCTTGGAGAGAGAGCAAGCTAACGTTGCAAGTCTAGATGACTCTTCATCAGAGCTGAAGTGTCGAGGGCACAGCATTCAAGCTATAGTTTGCGGGGGTGATGTGGGGGTAGTAGGGGTAGGGTGCTGGTGAAGAAAATATGTTGAAAGTTCAGATTAAGTGATCGGAATGTGAGAGTAGCAGAGCAATGGGGGTGAATCACAGTGAGTTGTGAACGTAGCACGAAAACCAGCTTTCCATCCAATGACTCCATCTACGCTTCCCACTGCCTTGGTAAAGCAGCCAACATAAGTAACAGCCCTCTCATTCCAGTTACACTCTCTTCCACCCTCTTTAAAACAGAGTGTTGTTTGAATAGTAACTGTGCTGCTTTTTCCCTCATTAGCAAAATGACTAAAGAAAGCAAGATCGAATAATCTAATTAGCTCCCAGAGCCTGACATTAGTTATAAATGTGGCAACCTTCCACCACATTGCAGAATGGATGTAGGCTTTCTGAGAGAAATGCATGGAACACCAAAGGCTCTGATGTTTTTAATGTACTATCCCATCACTTGACCTATTGTTGGCCCTCTTGTGGTGCAGTGGCTGTATGTTTTCTTCTGTCTTAGAAAACCAGAGGTAGAGTCTCTTTTGTTCAAGATGCTATGTGATAACCCCATCCTTTCTCAAATCATCTTCAATCCAAGTGCGTGAACCCTTTCCCTCACCAATAAATAACAGTGAATGTGGCTATTCGTATCCTCAAATAATACATGTTGTACATTTTACTGTATTTCAATGATTTGACATCCAATGATTTCTCAGCATGTCAAGAATGACATCTACATTCCACTTTCATTCAAGCAATTTCTGCAGGTATCATCAAATGCACGGCACTTTTAATTTGAATGAACCCTTTAAAAGCTTAATGTCATTTTACCATGGGCCCTCGGCTTTGGCATCCTTCAACATTGGGCCCCATTTCTAAGATGTCCCTTGTTAGTAGCCTAGACATTATGAGAGATTGTGTAATCATCTTCCATCCCTTTACGGACGATTGAGAGTAGGCTGATGGGGCAGTAATTGGCCAGGTTTTTATGTACAGGGCATACTTGGGTAGTTTTCAACTTTGTTGAGTAGATGCCAATTTTGTCGCTCCATTGGGACAGCTTGGCTAGGGGTGCAGCAACTGCTGGAGCGCAAGTCTTAAGTACTGTTGCTGGAATGTTGTCTGGGACCACAGCCTTTGCAGAATCCAGCACTTCCAATCATTTCTTGATATCATTTGGAGCGAATCGAATTGGCTGAAGACTGGTATCCGTAATGCTGGGAATCTCTGGAGGAGGCCCAGATGGATCATCCACTTAGCACTTCTGGCTGGAGATTGCAGTAAATGCTTCTGCCTTATCTTTTGCACCGAAATGCTGGGCTCTCACATCCAGATTGGGTGGCAATTTGGCTGCAGTTCATCAGTGACTGTTGCCAAGAAACACATGAACTTCAATGCACATCTTGAGGTTGTCAAAGGCACTATATAAATGCAATTCTCTCCTCCTGCAGTTGGCTATCCACCAGAACAAAAGCAAGACCAATTTTATTTTGCATGGTGGAAATATACAGGATTGGAAAATGGAAATTCTTTTAAAATGAAATGTTGCTTTTGTGCAATCTGCTCACTGACATAGAACTGTGCAGTTCAGAACACTTTGAACCTGGGTCCCTGGTACTGTGAGGTAGCAGTAAGCGCTAACCAGGGAGCCACTGTGCCATTAGATGGTTAGTACCGCTGCTTCATGGCAACAGGGACCCAGGTTCGAGTCCACCCTCGGGCGATTGCCTGTGTGGAGTCTGCACATTCTCCACGTCTGCGTGGGTTTCCTCCGAGTGCTCTGGTTTCCACCCACCGTCCAAAGATATGCAGTTTAGGGCGGATTGACCACAGTAAATTGCCTATAGTGTGCAGGGATGTGCAGGCTAGGTAGGTCAGCCATGGGAAATGCAGGGTTACACGAATAGAGTGGGTCTAGGTGGGATGCTCTTCAGAGGGTTGTTGTGACTCAAAGCTGAGTGTCCTGTATCCACACTGTAGGAATTCTATGGAACACTTTCAACACATTTTCACTTGGACAACTGTTGAAACAAGATGGTACAAGACTTGGTTGTTGTGAAACGAAAATCTGTTGCCATGTTGCCTACAAAAAAAGTGGGGTTGGTTAGCTCATTTGGCTGGATGGTTGGACTGCAATGCAGAGTGACACCAACAGCGTGGATTCAATTCTCACGCTGGCTGAGGTTAGTGTGAAGGACTCTCACTCCCAACCTCTCCCCTTGCATCATAGTGACCCTCAGGTATAAACACTTCCACTTATCTCTCTCTAATGAGAGCAGCCCCATGGTCTGGTGGGACCTAACCTTCAGTAATCAGTTTGCTGTGCTATCAGCTACCTCACTGCATATTTTCAAAGCAATTAACCAGTCACCCTGCTTAAAAGTGGTGTCAAATTAACACTGGTGTAGAATAGTTAGATACACCAACCTGAAAACAATTCAACCCACTCTATATACTTGTACTACCACAGACCTCACAGTTGAAAAAAAATGCTTAGCATTGTAAAAGCAAATAGGAACAAAAGTACTGACAGTTTTTGGGAGTGAGGTGAGAAGGCCACTTAAATTAAGGAGAGATTGGTGAGTCAGAGTTCAGAGACTACATATTTGGAATATGTGTCAACTTTTAGGGCGAGATTAAATAGAGTGGGTGAGTTGACTCAACGGCATTTAAAAGTAGCACTGCATGTGATGAAATGGGAGGCAGGCAAGAGATCAAAAAAAATCGTAATTTTGCTAGTGGAGATAAAGTGTTAGTGTTACTACCAGTGGTATGTGAATCTGTAAAGACAAGTTTTAGTAGGCCTTATCAAATCGAAAGGAAATTGAGTGAAGCAAATTATTTTATAAGAACGCCAGATAGAAGGAAAACCCACAGTATGTTATGTGAATATGCCCAAGTGGTATTTTGATAGGGAAGGAAAGCAGAAGGAGAATATGTTACTGGTTACAACGCAGAGCAAAGACCCAAATGCAGATGATGCTGATACAGGAAATGCTGTTCCAATTAAGCAACATCCTTTTGGCTTAACCCTCTAAAATTGGCATAGGTTCCACACAGATTAAAAGCATGCTGAGAAATTATATAATCAAAGTGAGTTGCAGCAAATGGATTTCACCCACAGTAATGGTACCAAAACCAGTCAGTAGCTATCAATTATGTGTAGACTATTGCAAAGTCAATGCAGTTATGAAATCTGATACGTACCCTATTCCACATTTCGAAGACTGTAATAAGAAGGTGGGACAAGTAACTTGTATTCCTAAATTGGACTTACTCAGAGGATACTAACAGGTACCTTTATCCAAAACAATTTAGGAAATTTCTGCTTTTGAGACACCTAATGGACTTTATCAGTTTAAAGTTGTGCCATTTGGTATGGAGAATGTGCCGACCATATTTCAAAGACTAACCAGTAAGGTCATTTCAGAATTATTCAATTGAGTGTTGCAGATAGATGACCTGGTGATTTTTAGTCGCACGTTGAAGGAACATTTGGAGCAAGTAGCAGATTATTCGATTGACTTCAGGACACAGGCTTGGTGATACACTTGGCTAAGACTGAGATTTCAAAAGCCCAAGTCACATTCCTAGGCCATATCATTGGACATGGGCACATGGCCTCACAGAATGTGAAAACAAAGGTTATTTAGGAGTTTCACATCCTGCCAATGAAGAGTACTTCAGAAGTACTACTTCCTGAGAGTGAGTGGTTTTCTTTGAAAATTCATACCAAATTTTAGCAGTGCGGTCGCTAAACTGACTGACCTGTTGAAGAAGTGCAGAAAATTTCAGTGGACAGAGGAGTGTGAGAAGACATTTTGCAGCCTGAAATCTGTGTTGACCACCGTTCTAGAGATATCAACACCTAACTAAAGAACGCCATTTAAGGTGGCTATCATTGCAAATGACGTGGGTGTCAGTGCCGTACTCTTAGAAGACGACGATAGGATAGAAAGACCAATTGGGTATTTCTCCTGAAAGCTGAACATCCATCAGAAGAGATCTTCCGCCATTGAGAAAGACACCATGAGTTTGCTATTAGTGTTGCAACATTTCAATTTTTATGTTGCCAGTAATGTATCTAAGACAATTGTATCTACTGATCATAATCCCTTAACGTTTTGGAAAAAATTAAAGATAAAAATACTGGACTGTTGCAGCCATTCGATTTGAAAATTATACACTTGGCAAGACATGAGAACATAACCGCCAAGATGTTTTCATGACTTTGATGAAGGAAGATGGAGGGTTCAGTGATGAATTGATATGTACTGTAGTACTGAATATTTGCTTGCTTGGTTTAATGTAACATATGTAGCATACTAGTAACACGAGTATATTGATGATTCATTTCTTTTTAAGCAGGTAGGTGCGCCAATATGTGCCTTTAAGAGGGATTTGACTGTCCTGGTTGTCTTGAAGGGGGGTGTTGTAAACTGGTGTGGAGGTGTCTGCTCCATCAAAAGCACAGTAAACACCTTTGTGTTTTTGTTTAATTCAACTAAGCATGAGCGGGTGAAGTCATGCTCATGGACACTCGGAGTTTTAGTTTTTACTTTCAGTTGTTGAAGTTGGGGTTTTGGAGTTGAAGCTGCTAGATACAACTCTCTCTCTCTCTGCTGCTGCTAAAAAAGCTTGAGTTCAGTCTCTGCTTCTACATTCTTTCTAGCAGTGTTCCTTCTCCTGGAGACAGCTTGAGAGTGCAAATCTGTTTTTCTGAATTTGCCTTTGCCAAGGCTGTGTTTATGGAATGCTGCTATATTGGAAAAATAGACGATGAATGGTTAAGTAATATATTATTTTGTAAAGTATTTTGATAGAGTTGAAATTATGCCAATTCTTCTGTTTTAGTTTGTATTCTTACACCACAGTGACAATACAATGTATTTTGCTTAAAGCCTCATAGATTGACAAATCAAATCAATTTTGGAATGCAGTATCTTACACTTGCCTTGAAATGAAATAAAATTTAGGGTCTAGGCTATCTCCTTAACATGCTTCAGGGGATTTGGTCTGGTCCATAACATTGGTGTTTATTCAACCCTGATGAACCAGAAAATACATTTGGACAAAATGGATAGGCTCTGTCCAGTGTGAAGGTGTTGATTTACAGTGAATTGGGATATTTTGCAAAAGCTGCCCTACAGGTGGGGTTTGTATGAACATTTTCATCACCACGTCAGTACCTTTAATAAAGCAGGGTTTAATAATAGGAGTACAACCAGCTCAATGACCATGATTCAATTTTTTGTGTAAGTAAGAGCAAAATTCTTCAACTGTGGTCCTTTGTGAACAGCTTAGATGACAGAATAAATCCCTTCCCACACGCTGAGCATCGAAGGGTTTCTCCCCAGCGTGAACTCGTTGGTGCCTCAGCCTACCTCGGTTGACTAAGTGAATCCTTTCCCACAAATCAGCAGGTGAACAGTTTCTGCCCAGTGTAAACTTGCTGGTGTGTTACGTTCAACAAAACAGCAAAACCTTTTCCATACACAGAGCAGGTGAAAGGTTTTTAGCTAGTGTGAACTTGCTGGTGTTCCAGTAGCTTAAATGAGCGAGGGAATCCCTGCCCACACTCAGAGATGAACGGTCTCTCCCCAGTGTGAATTCTCTGGTGTCTCAGCAGGCCAGACGACCAAATGAATCCCTTCCCACACTGGGTGCAGTTGAATAATTTCTCCCCAGTGTGAACCCACTGGTGTGCCAACAGATAGGATGATTCAGCAAAGCCTTTACCACAATCTGAGCAGGTGAATGGTCTCTCCCCAGTGTGAACTTGCTGGTGTCTCAGCAGTTTGGATGACACAGTGAATCCCTTTCCACACACGGAACAGGTAAATGGTTTCTCCCCAGTGTGAACTCGCTGGTGTTCCAGCAGTTTAGATGAGTGAGTGAATCCTTTGCCACAATCAGAGCAGGCGAATGGTCTCTCTCCACTGTAAACTCGCTGGTCTCTGAGTAGTTTGGATGACAGAGTGAATACTTTCCCACACTCAGAGCAGGTGAACGGTCTCTCCCCGGTGTGAACCCACTGGTGTCTCAGCAGGTCGGACGACTGAGTGAATCCCTTTCCACAATCAGAGCAGGTGAATGGCTTCTCCCCATGGTGACCACGTTGGTGAACTTCTAGCCGGGATGGATAAAGAAATCCCTTCCCGCAATCTCCACATTTCCACAGCCTCTTGCCTTCACAGATTGTTCTACACACGCATGACGTATGCTTCTCTTCATTGTGAACGGTGCTTGTTCCTTCCATGTTCAAAATCGTGTAATAATTACGATGAACACAACAATGGTCAGACCTGGATGTGCTTTTGTTTGAATTCTCTCATTGCAAATCAACATTTCAAACATGGGAAAAGAAGTAGTGAGAGAGAAACAGCACCATTCATAGCCTGATGTTTGAAGTTAAACTATAAACTAAAGTAATTGTAGCCTGCATAGAGGAGTATATCTAAGGCAACAAGATTAAAAATCACTCAAAGGATCTTGTAAGATGCATACAATGGATTCTGTTAAAGCAACAGCAAAAGCAGCTATTTGTTGCAAGACAGTTTGATAAGGAACATTCCACAGAAATGCTGATTGAATCCTCTGTACTGGCTAGTGCTGGGATAGAAGGGAAAGGTGTGACTCACAGTCTGTTAAGACCCCCTGGTAAATGTATATATACTAACATGGAGTCATAGAGCCATTGAGCTGTACAGCATGGAAACAAGCCTTTTGGTACCACTCATCCATGCTGACCAGATATCATAAATGAGTCTAGTCCCATTTGCCAGCATTTGGCCCATATCCCTCTAAACCCTTTCTATTCGTTTACCGATCCAGATGCCTTTTAAATGTTGTAATTGTAACAGCCTCCCCCACCCACTCTGGCAGCTCATTCCATACACGCACGACCCACTGCATGAAAACGTTGCCCCTCAGGTCCCCTTTAAATCTTTCCCCTCTCACCTTAAACCTATGCCCTCTAGTTTTGGACACCCCCACCCCAGGGAAAAGATCTTGTCTATTTACTCTATCCATGCCCCTCATGATTTGATAAACCTCTATAATATCACCCCTCAGGCTCCAACACTCTGGGCAAAATAGCTCCAGCCTATTCAGCCTCACCCAACAGCTCAAACCCTCCGACCCTGGCAACATCCTTGTATATCTTTTCTGAACTCTTTCAAGTTTCACAACATCTTTCCTACAGCAGGGAGGCCAGAATTGGATGCAGTATTCAAACAGTGGCCTAATCAATGTCCTGTATAGCTGCAATATGACCTCCCAACTCCTATACTCAATGTACTGACCAATAAAGGCAAGCATACCAAACGCCTTCTTCACTAACGTGCCTACCTACGATTCCACTTTAAGGAACTATGAACCTGCACCCCTAGGTCTCAACACTCCCCAATACTTTACCATTAAGTGCCTGCCCTGATTTGCCTTTTGAAAAGGAGTTTTTATGTATACAGTCATTAGTGTATTTAATTGCATTCCTGTGGAAATTCAGTCTAAGGCAGGCAGAAGAAGCCTCCTTCCCAAAATCAGAGGACTGCTGGTGCAGGAGATAAAGCCTGCAGCATGGTTGAAAAAGATGCATTGTGAAGGCCTAAGAATAAGTGATTTGGGTGAGGGGTTGTCTGGTAAACATCACAAGATCATGGGATGACCTAAAGCTGTCCGTGTACTGATCAAGCAGTCACATGTTTAACCTGGTTGGATGTGCATGTAATCAATTAATAATCCGATTGGTTTATAACAGCCAAAGATGCGCTAAAAGCAAATGTATTAAAATGTGTATGTTTCCCTTTGTTCAGTAGAGAGGTCCTTGGAGTGGCTTTCTCCCCACTGGTGTAAAACAACAAACTCTTCTATGATTGAAGTGGACCTGGGTATTGAGTGATCTATCTAGTCATTCTGTTTGACACATTGTTATGTTAGAAGAACTGAAATTGTCTGCTTGGAATAAAATAGATTGAGCAATGATGACATTTATTTATGAAAGATTAATACGTAGTAGATGAGGAAACGTTATTCCTGTTAGCTGGTCATAGAAAAAGATTTTGGGACACAGAATGATTGAAGATTTTGGTGAAGAGTCACAGGGAGGATAATGAGAAAAACTTCTGTGCAGCACATGATAATGATCTGGAATACAGCACTTACTTTCGAAGGCCGACGATATTCACGAAGTGATTCTGTCAGGTGATGTTTGGTTTCGGTTTCGTGCCCACAAACGTCCATGTGATATCCTGTAAAAGAAGTTTGGAACATCCATCGCTGTTAGTCCTGGATACCAATTCAGAAAAGAAAAACAATTCTTCTGGTCTGAATTTGCAATCATGAACGTCCCCCTTCTAACTCCCTTTCAAAGCAAAGGACGTGGATGCTTTGTACTATCATCATCGTGGGCAGTCACTTGTTCCAAGAATAACATGTACGCAGGGGTCATGAATTTCTGCTCTGGGTCTTCATGTGACTTAATACAGTTGCAAATCTTTAGTGACATAAGGCAGGACATCCAATAAGGTAATGGGATGTGGTGAGCATGTTGGAGGGTCTAGGCCCGAAACGTCAGCCTTCCTGCTCCTGATGCTGCTTGGCCTGCTGTGTTCATCCAGCTCTACACCTTGTTATCTCTGCCTTCCCTTGGCTTCCTTTCTGCGCCTCTGCCCTGCTTCATTAATGAGACTGGGGGTGTGGAAGTCTCATACAACTTGATGGACAGGTTGTCTCCATTCATAACAATAGGCAGCAGACTCCGCCCATTCATCCCAGTGCGCAGGCGCCCCAGCTGCCCGGTGCCCCCAACAAAAATGGCGGAGGTTACCCCCTCCACTGCCCCTCTGCGGCTTACGTTCGGTCGGAAGCCTCCAATTCGTAATTCGCCTTCGCTCCGTGTAAATCGGGAAACGATCATTTCCTTTGCGGCTTACGCAAGATGTTCATTAAATCTCCCAGTTCCGTCGGTCGGGCCCACCGCTCTCCAACAACCCGCCTCGACCTGATCGTTTTCAGTCCGAAGACGCGCGCACACCAAAGAACCCACCGACTCCCACATCGACGGCTCGGCGCATGATCCGTACGACGTCCGGGGCTGCGCCTGCGCAGTGCTCTAGTTCGACGTGAGTGGTTGACACGTACCAAAAGAAACAGAACCTGCCGCTTGTGCAATGGCGCGGGGAGGCCAGCAGAGAGTAATACTGTATCACTTTAAACACAAGAGGTACAGACTGGAAGAGAGAGGCTTTCATTCATCACATTTTAATTCATTCAAATCTACTCACGACCCCCCGCCCTCCGCAAAGTGTGACCCATTATAGGGGGAGATAGGCGGCTGCTCCTTCAAGCCACGTGTCAACGTTTGGACTGTTGTTTCTGCCAGGCCATTGGATGATGGGTGGTAGGGACCTGTCCTCACAATGTTGAATCCCCTTTGACTTTGAGAAATAACCAAGTTCCCACTGGTAAACGATGGCTCATTGTCTGTGACCAGCACTTTCACAGATCATAGAATCCCTGCACTGTGGAAACAGGCCCTTCAGCCTAACAAGTCCACACCGACCCTCAGAGCATCCCACCCAGACACATTCCCCCTATATTTTAATTTACACATCCCTGAACACTACAGGCAATTTAGCACAGCCAATCCACCTAGCTTGCACATCTTCGGACTGTGGGAGGAAACCAGAGCAAATCCATGCAGACACGGGGAGAACGTGCAAACGCCGCACAGACAGTCACCCAAGGATGGGATCAAACCCAGGTCCCTGGTGCTGTGAGGCAACAGTGCTAACCGCTGAGCCACCATGCCGCTTCTGGGACTCTGTGTGTTAAAAAAGGTGTGCACAGTTTTTCTATCGTTGTCCCTGTGTTTGATGAATGGACCCTTTGCACTCCAACTACTTTGAGTGGACATGTACAACGACTAAGAGCATTGGACCATGAAGGACCTGCACAGTCATCATGCAACCGAAGTCCAAGATTTACCTGGCCATTCCCACAGATGAGGGGGGTGTTGCTGGTGGTCATTTTTGTCCTTGTTGGCACTCTGGGTACTGTCCTGCCAATGTAGCTATGTCTGCATCCAATCCTGGCCAGCAGACACAACTTCTGACCAACATCTGGGATTTCTCTCCCATCCTTCTGTCTCTCTCTCTCTCTAGTCATCTTCTATCTCTCTCTTTCTGTCATGAAGTTATATAGTTGTACAGTATGGAAATGAATCCTTTGGTCCAACTCATCCATGTCAACCAGATATCCTAAATAAATCTAGCCCCATTTGCCAGCATTTGGCCTATATCCCTCTAAACCCTTCCTATTCAAATACTCATCCAGATGCCTTTTAAATGTTGTAATTGTACCAGCATGCACCACTTCTTCTGGCAGCTCATTCCAATGCACCACTCTCCGCGTGGAAAAAGTTGCCCCTTACCTCCTTTTTAAATCTTTCCCCTCTCACTTTAAACCTATTCCCTCTAGTTTTGGACTCTCCCACCCCAGGGAAAAGACCTTGTATATTTACCCTATCCATGCCCCTCATGATGTTATAAACCTCTATAAGGTCACCCCTCAGCCTCCGAGAGGCAGGGAGAATAGCCCCAGCCTATTTAGTGTTTCCTTATCGCTCAAACCCTCCAAACCTGGCCACATCCTTTAAATGTTTTCTGAACCCTTTCAAGTTTCACAACATCTGTCCTATAGCAGGGAGACCAGAACTGAATGCAGTATTCCAAAACTGGCCTAACCAATGTCATGTACAACCGCAATTTGACCTCCCAACTCCTATACTGAATGCACTGACCAATGAAGGCAAGCATACCAAATGCCTTTTTCATTATCCCGTCTACCTGGGACTCTACTTTCAAAGAAGTATCAGCCTGCACTGCAAGGTCTCTTAGATCAGCAACATGCCCAAGGATCTTACCATTAAGGATATAAGTCTTGCCCTCATTTGCTTTTCCAAAATGCAACACCTCACATTTATCTAAATTAAACTCCATCTGCCACTCCTCGGCCCATTGGCCCAACTGATCGAGGTCCCATTTTACTCTGAGGTTACCTCCTTCACTGTCCACTACACCACCAGTTTTGGTGTCGTCTGCAAAGTTACTAACCATACATCCTATGTTCATATCCAAATCATTTATATAAATGACAAAAAGCAGTGGACCCAGCACCAATCCTTGTGGCACAGGCCTCCACCCTGAAAATCAACCCTCCACCACCACCCTCTGCCTTCTAACTTTGAAATAATTCTGTATCCAAATGGCTAATCCTCCCTGTATTCCATGTGATCTAACCTTGCTCCCCAGTCTACCATGAGGAACCTTGTCAAACGCCTTACTGAAGTCCATATAGATCATGCCCACCACTCTGCCCTCATCAATCCTCTTTGTGGTGAGGTTGTGTAGTTCACTTGTTGATTGGGAGACAGGAAGTCAGAATTTGGCATTTTTAAAATGCTGGGGGTGGGGGGAGGGGGGAAGCATTGCATGGTCTCTTTAAAAGATGATGTGCTTTTTCTATGCTTAGAGATTTAAAAAGAACGTATGTGAGTAGTTTGAAGGTTTACAAGTACACACAGAGCACACGAATTGAAACATTTCTATCAAAAGGCTGTACAGTTAGCAGGCCAAGCAGTTTTGTTTTGCTCCCTGCCAACCAAGTTTTGAATTTAGCCAATCAATTTGAACCTGGCACTCAGATACCAAAAAAAATTAAATTTAAATCTGTTGGTTTTGACAACATAGGGCCAATACGAGTGTAAGAGATTGATCTGTCATCAAGGGTATCAAAGAAGAGGTTGTTGGACAAAGACAGGAGAACTAACTGCCATCTGCCAGAGTTAACAGCTCTCATCTCACAAGAGAGAATCACTGGCTCCCACAGTTTTCCCTAAATCTTAGAGAAAGCACCATCTAAAAACAAAGGTACCAATGGCACAACTTGTTAATGTTTCTGACAGCCAAATCAATGGAAAAGGTGTTCCTGATAGCCAAATCAACTCAGAGGGCACAGGACACTCTGGAAGACACATAACCTGGCTGTAATTTCGCGAGATTAAATTCTAATTTTTATTTTATATAAGTGGGGCTTTTATTTATTGGAACAGCATACTGTTAGAATCTTGTTTCTTTTTTCAGTAATAGTTAGAAGGGGTTTATTCAGTTTGTTACTAGTTTAGTTAATTTGTCCACTGTTAGTGTTGGATAAATAAATTGTTACTTTTTGATTCTAAAGTGAGTGTCAGGGATTTGTTTTATTTAACCACTAGAAGTTGCTCAGAAGCAGGTTACACCACTTTTCACACTTTTTTTTACAGATTATAGGGTGAGGTACTCCTCTTTGTGTGTTTCGGTTTTAGTTCTCAGAGGGGTGTCTTCCACCACTTTATTATAGGCTGGGGGCTCGGGTCCGGTATCCAAATGGATTTGGACAGATCTGAATGGATTTGGACAGATTTGAACAGATTTAGGGTATGAAATGTCCCAGCAGATTTGAACAGGCTACAGGATTAGTGTCCTAGATCTTTAAATGAAACTTAAGTGAGAAGTGGAAAATCTGTTTAATTTTGGTTGCTTGTTGTTGGTTAAATTAAAAGTAGGGAAATGGCTCTTAACATTGCTAAAGAGGTTTTGGGGATTGAAGATCCTTCCCCAAGTTTTGCCAAGAAAGTTTAGAAAGACAGAGAAAGGGGACACTTTTAGAATTAGCGCACAAATTGGGTTTAACTAGCTGAAATTGTAACAGAGTTAGTCAAGTATTTAGATATATCAGAGAAACAGTCAAGTGCAGTGGAATTAGAAAAAGTTATATTGCAAATGTCACAACTGAAGTTAGAGAATGAAAGGAAAGACAGAGAGTTTGAATTATGGTTAAGAGCAGAAGAGAAGAACGGGAAAGAAGACTTCTAGCAGAATAAAAAGAAAAGGAAATAACTGCCCCTAGCTAAAGAAAAAGAAAGGCAGCAGAGAGTGTTTGAATTATGGTTAAAAGCAGAAGAGAAAGAAAAGGAAAGAATGTTAGAGTTGGAAAAGATGAAGTTGGAACTTGAAACAAAAAGACTTCAAATGACAGAAGTAAATGTACAAGATAGAAGTGATGATGAGCAAACTTATTGTAGCCAATAGCCTGGTAGGGATATATACAAATATGACCAAACCTTACCAACATTCAAAGAAAAAGATATAGAAGCCTTTTTCATTTACGTTGAGAAATTGGCTAAACAGATGAACTGCCCAGAGACTGTGTGGGTAATGTTAATTCAGACCTAGTTGGCAGGCAGGGCTAGTGAGATGTTTGTAGCGCTGTCAGAGATGGTGTCAAGAGAATATAAAGAAGTAAAACGAGCTAATTTGAGTGCCGACAAATTGGTACCAGGAGCATATAGACAATGGTTCCAAAATGTCAGACTTACATTGAGTTTGAAAGAATTGAACAGAGCAACTTTGACAGATGAATGAAAGCATTAAAGCTTGAAAAGACAGATGAGGCTCTTGGAGCTAATATTCTGCTGGAGAAGTTTAACAACTCACTTCCAGAAGTGGTAAGAACTCATGTTGAGGAACAGAAAGTTAAAACAGCAAGAAGAGCACCAGAGATAGCAGATGAATATGCATGAGTGCATAAATCAAAATCTAGTTTCTGACAGCAGTTTCATTCTGTGAGGGACAGAAATTTGGAAAGGGGGAGATCCTTCAATGAAAAACTAAAAGAAGATCACACTGGAAACAGTTTACCACATGTGAAAGAAATAAACCCAAGAGGGTGGTTAAAAGGTGAAAGACCTCAGGTGTTTTCACCGCGACCAGGTGGGGCACACAAAGTCACAGTGCTGGTGGTTGAAGAGAAGCACTGGGGAGAAAGGATGTAGTAAAAGAGGCTAAACCAGTGGGATTAGCTGATGTTGTAAAGGAAATCCCAAGAGAAGTTGAGGAGCTGCAGGACAGTGCATTGCCTTGTCATGGGCTATGTAGTCAGATAGTGCCTGATCTTTTCAAAGACTTCACCTGTGTGGATAAGATTTACTCAGGTAGAACAGGGGGAGTAGGTAAAGATGTTAAAATATTGAGA